AACTGATCTTTTTCACAAAGAGGACAGGGGCCTTGACCAGAGAAGTAGATGGTCAGGTTTTCCTGCAGGGAATCCGGTAAGGTCCACAGCTTCAGCTCTGATATAGTATAGGCAGTCAGTGGGAACCCCCTGCCCTGAGACTATTGTTTTACAGGGCTGTTGAAGAACCTGTGGGGCAGCAGGGTGCCTGCATTCTTTTTTTTTGTCAAAGACATCAATCAGGTCCTGGTGCTTGTCTGGGAGAGTAGTGGTGGGCTTGGGGATAGCTGCTTCAGGCCTGGCCATCTGAAGGTTAGTGACTAGGCTGCAGCTACCCTGGAGTCCTTGGAAGTGTAGATTCCCCTGAAAGCAGGCCCTGGTGCCGTCAGAGTGATGGCCTTTGCTGGTGCTAGATACATGGTTTGGCAGTAGAATGGACTGAGCTGAAAAGTACCAGATTCCCAATGGATTTGGGGTTTGTAGAGGATGAGCCAGGCGATCCCTGTAGAGGTATGGGTGGAATGAACTAGACCAAACTGCAACACTTCCTCGTGGCTCTGGAGGGAGAAGTGGGGTTTCCAAGGTGATGAGTCCTGACATGCGTAGTGTCCCATCAATGGACTCTGTCTTCACTGGCTTGGACCTATGTTGTACTGGGATGTGACTAGGGGTCTACCCAACTCACAGAGGTGGTGGGTCAATTTCTGGGGATATTGTGGGGCCAGCCCCCATTTTCCTGGGATGACTGCAATGCCCCCCCATACCTCTGATTGGCAGAGGGCCCCAGTGGCCCCACTTATTGGTGTTGATTGGCTGTGACGGCTGTCTGTCTTGTGGCCCTGCCCCATCACCACTGATTGATTGTGAGGACTGTCCATCTTGCAGTCCCATCCCTCACTGCTGATTGGTGGACAGGGGTGGGGCTGCATGACAGGCAGCCCTCTCAGCCAATCAGTGGTGAGGGGCAGGGCAGCAGCCATCTTGGGTTCCTCTTGGAGCTGACAGCTCCTTTTCTCCTTTTACCCACTGGCAGGCTGTATGGCCAGGTTGCAGGAGCCAGCATTTTATTTCCAGTAAGTTTTTTTATTTTCATGGATTTTTTTGAACATTGACTGCTTTCACGGGCAGTGCTGGATTTTTCAATTTCCACAAAATCCATGAAATCACGATTTCTGTAGGTCCCTAGATATGACTGGCTCTGGCAAAGTTGTCCAGGTGAGCCAAAAGTAGGGTGACCATCCATCCCATTTTTCTCAGGACAGTCCCAGATTTTAGAGGCCAGTCCCAGACTTGGGGCACAGATTAAAATAAGCACCCAGGGTGCAGGGGTTAGTCCAGCAGGAAAGGGAAATGGTGCAGCATGCTGCTTTGCCTTTGCCTCTCCCTGCAGCACACATCTGCTTTGGGAGGGAAGAGGGGAGGGGGCAGGGGGTAGTGTTTTGGATGTCCCGTATTTCCAACCAGGATGGATGGTCACCCTCACCATTTTTTCTTGAAATCTCAGATCCGAGGGTGGGAATGGATCCTACAGCCCCAGTAGAGATTAAGTAGTCTGAATCACTCTTCTGGAGACACGGCTAGATAAATCTGAAGTATTTCCCCCTGAGATACCTAATCTGAACAACCCTTCTGCAGATATGGCCAGATAAGTAAAATGTTTGATCGTAGTGATTCCTTCTGTTGTTGTTTTTTTTAATTTATGAATTTCCAAACCTTTCCCAGAGATGTGAAGCAGCTACTCTCAAAACAGCCACCTCTCCTGGGAAGGCATTGTACTGGAATTCTCATTCTTCCCTTTTCCTGTAGGTGGGGTTTCCATAGGAAACAGAAGCCATTCTACTTCTCTGCCCTGACAGGCAGCCATCTGTATTCTCAGAGCTAAGCTGCACACGCAAAGATTCCCGTCTCATTGTTCTATACTAAGGGTTTTCAGCCAGGATAGCAGCTGGATCTCTTGCCTGAAGAGAAAAGGACGATTTCTTTCCTCTCAGTGTAGCTGGGTTTGCCTGGGATTTTTAATCCTATTCGTGTGCTTATGGGATCTAGAAGTGGGACTACCTTTGACTGAAAATACAAAGGATTTACAAGCTTTTTGGGCTCAAACTGTGTGTACAGAGATTCAAGGATAAAGTCATCTGTCCTGGGACTAACAGCAGCATAGCTGGCTTTCTCAGAAGAATGCTTTTGCTATCGCCCTTTATGCTTCAATTTACAGCATTGTGGTGGCACTTTTTTCTCTCTGTGGGTTGCCAGGCTGTGACCCTATTCAGGGTGAAATACAAAGTGTTAGAAGAAGTGGCAAATGGAACAGTGATAGGAAATTTACTCGAGTGTTTTGGTTTATGGGAGAGAAGTGTGGACACTTTCCAACTGTTTCAGTTCCCTGAGGAATTCCCTTTTCATGTTGGATCTGAAGATGGCTTGCTCAGCACTGCAGGGCGGCTGGACAGAGAGCAACTTTGCAGGCACAATGATCCATGCTTGGTCTCTTTTACTGTATTAACTGCTAAACACTTCGCTCTAATTCATGTGGAGGTTCAAGTCTTAGATATCAATGACCATGGGCCCCAATTTCCAAAGGCTGAATTGGAGCTAGAGATGTCAGAAAATGCATCTTTACAAACACGAATACCTTTGGATCAAGCCCTAGACCCAGACACTAGTACCAATGCCCTCTTCTCTTACTCACTGTCTCCCAGCGACCACTTTGCTTTGGATGTCATCTCTGGATCTGATGGAACTAAGCATGCAGAACTTGTTGTTGTTAAAGAAGTGGACAGAGAACTCCATTCTTGTTTTGATCTTGTACTGACTGCTTCTGATCACGGAGAACCACCAAAATCAGGTACTACCTTAGTTAGGGTCATTGTTCTAGACTCCAATGATAACAGTCCTGCTGTTTTTGCGGAGAGTTCTTTGACAGTTGAAATCGGGGAAGATGCTTTGCCTGGGACTCTTCTTATAACAGTTACAGCCACAGACTCTGATCAGGGTCCTAATGGAGAAATAGAATATTTATTAAGTAAGTATACTACGCTGGAAGTATTGCATATGTTCAGCATTGATGCCAGGACAGGCAATATTGTTTTGAGACATCCATTGGACTTTGAAAAAATTCCTACCTATGAATTGGATGTACAGGCCAGGGATCTAGGAGCCAATCCTACCCCAGCACACTGCAAGATCTTCATCAAGGTCCTTGATGTCAATGACAATGCTCCAGATGTCCACATCACATGGGTTTCCTGGGTGCCAGTGTTATCTGAAGCTCTTCCTAATGACAGCTTTGTTGCTTTGGTGACAACAAGTGATCCTGATTCAGGAAACAATGGACAGGTACACTGCTACCTTAGTCAAGGATATGAGCATTTCAGATTGAAAAGGACTAACAAATATAGTTATATACTGCTGACCAATGCCACCTTGGACAGGGAGAGATGGTCTGAATATAACTTGACTTTACTGATTCAGGACCAGGGGATCCTCCCCTTAGCTATGGAGAAGTATCTCACTATTTACATCAGTGATATTAATGACAACCCACCCTTATTTGAAAGGCGTACATACAACGTCTCCATTGCTGAGAACAATATGACTCCTTCATTTTTGGTTACTGTCAGGGCCAATGATGCTGACTTAGATTTAAATGGAAAAATAACTTATAGCATCCAGGACTCCCTTGTTTCAGATTTGGTATCTGTTGATTCTAACACCGGTGAGATCTTTGCCCTGAGAGCTTTTGATCATGAGCAAATGACCAGTTTGGAATTCCTTGTGACAGCAGAAGATGGAGGTTATCCCAAACTGGCATCTAATGTCTCTGTCAGGGTTAATTTGCTTGATAAGAATGATAATTCCCCAGTGATCATACAGCCAGCACTGGTAGAAGGCAGAGCAGAGATCACCATTCTAGTCAATGCAGAAACTGGATGCCTTTGGACATCCTTAGGGACTCACAGCTCCCCAAAGGCATCAGTAACCAGCATGATACTGAAACCCAATTCAAGTACTCACTTGCTTTTCACCATAGTTGCCAGTGATGCTGACTCTGGCCTAAACGGTGACCTCCATTATAACATTCTGAGTGGCAATGATGATGGTCTGTTTGTCCTTGATCCACTGTCAGGGCAGGTATTTATCAACAGCAGCAACATCAGCAGCCTCATTGGAAATGAATTAGAGCTAAGAATTTTAGTGAATGATCAAGGGAATTTACCACTGCAGGTAGAAGCTCTTGTGCTGTTAATTTTCAAAAATCACCGTGACCACCTGAAAAACTCAGCCCAGGGGTCTTGGAGGCTGAGTCCATCCATGGTTATTGCTATCTGCCTCATTGTTTTGCTAGTCATTTTTCTTATTATTTTGGCCTTAATTGTGTCTTTACGTAAAAGAGAGAAGAAAGAGAAAATGGCTTACAACTGCAGGGAAGCAGAACAAGCCCACAGAGAGCAGCAGCTCAAGAAGCCCCACAGACAGATTCAGAAGACAGACATATATTTAATCCCTGTGCTCAAAAATAGGCAAGATGTGCATTGTGAGGCTGAGCAACCTTGCTTCTGTAAAGAGGCTTTGGTGAAGGAAACTGCATGGAATGATTCACAGCAGACTCCATTTCACTTAACCCCAACACTTTACAGAACCCTTAGAAGCCAAGGGAACCAGAAAGATTCAGCTGAACAGAAAGATGCCTTCAATTTTCCTGCAATGCAGCGCAGGCCCCTCTACTCTCATAAACTGAGACATTCATCAGAAAAGAACTCAAGCTTTCAAACTTCAGAACCTTACACCAAGAGCTTAGTGAAGCCACTACCAAGGTCTATGGGAAATCAGAACTCTGACTTTTTGATGCCGACTAATCCTCCTTTGGACATGACTCTGAGTAAGCAAAAATTTTCTGAGCCAGATCCAGGGCTTTCAGAGGCTCAACCCCATCAGCACCTCCTAAGGAGCCTGGTCCGGCTGTCTCTGGTAGCATTTTCAGAGCAGAACTCCACAGGAGAATTTGTTCTGGATTCACCTCCTGTTCAGGTAGGAACTGCCTCATTTATATTTGTTATATATGAAGGGCCAAATCCTCTCTCACATAGCACTTGTGATATTTGTGAGGACAGTGAAGGCTTACTGAAAACGGAGTGTAACCTATTCTAGTTGTGCAAATGTTCCCATTTTCCAGGCTAGAACCCAGAGGCATAGAAGCACAGCTCCATGCCCAGGGCAGTTGTGTGGTGCTGGAGGCAGGACTGGCTCCTGCCATATTAATTGCAGAAGTGCAATCAGCCACTGCTATGGCAATGCCTGCTTTTGCACCCCACCACAAAGAAAGTGACTGGGGCTACTATCCTGGTTGTCTCCCCTCAGTTATGCTACTGTTGTACTGGGGCCAGCCTTTTCTCATCTTAAACAAATTGTCTCAGCGTCCTGCAGCTCACTTCCAAATCTGCCAGCAATCTGGGGCTCAGTGGCAGATAGCTAGTGGGCCACTGAAATCCCTCTTCCTTACAGGAGCACATTCTGGAAACTTCTGTGGGGTCAGGCTTCAGAGCTGGGGGGAAAGGAGTGGCTGTCAGAGAGGGAGAAAGACTGCTGTTGAGTTTGTTTTTCTGAGCGTAGGAGAAGAGCAAGGTCTGGGCTATGAGGGGAAAGAAGGGGAAATGCAGGGAAGCTTGAGGACTCAATCCAGATGGGATGCTCGCTGTCTCTCTCCCTCTGCACAACTCCAAGTGGGCCTGCCAAACCATTTGCAAGAGACGGAAATGCTATAAAATGCCAGACAGTATGGCAGGGACATCCTGTTTGGAAACATCTTGACTGGTGACTGCATGAAGTCAACAGGCTTTTCCTGTCTTACAGCAAATCTCTCAGCTGCTGTCACTGTTGCACCAGGGCCAGTTTCAGCCTAAACCAAGTCACAGGGGAAATAAATATACGTCCAAGAATGACAGCAGGTAAGACTCATTCACAGACCATTTTAGCTCTGCCTGTCTCTTTCCCAGGCCTGCCAGGAGGAGTAAGGACTTAGCCCCAAGACCTCCCAAATGAGAAGCCACATTTATGACAAAGGTCTCAAGGGATGCACTGCCCTTGACAATAGAACTGGTGCACTTCCTCATTCTCTAAAATTGTTCCTATGTACGGAGAAGTCAGGTCAGTGCTCCTCCTCTTGATGGAATGTGGTGGAGCAGGACAGATATGGAGGAGAAAACAAGGGGAGGAAGGTGTTACAGGAGAGGGATTTTAGGGGAAGCAAAGGATGGAAGAGAAATGGGAAGAGCAGACCCTGTCATTCTTGCTTGTAGCTGCTCCCCAAAGCCTGTAGCAGCATCTGCACTCAGAACAAGGAGAGTGGGTTCAAAAGAGGAATGAGAAAAGGGAGCATAGCAAGAGGCTGTAGGGTGAGAAAGCAGGAGGAGATAGGTAGGGAAGACACTTCGGGCATGTCTGTATAGCACAAGATTGTGGTATGCAAAGATATGCATGTTTTAGCTCCAGAACTGGCAGCAATACATTTGTATTCGCACAGTGCTCTGCCTATACTAATTAGGCCTACCGAGGCACTCTGGTTCCAAAGCTTGTGTTCAGACCTATTTAGGTTATAGCTGCATGGTGCTACCATATTGAGCATGCTGCTCTTATGTCCCTGTCAAGACCTTGGTTTCACTAGTGCACTTTTGCCTCCTTTGGCTCCCTTCCTATACCTGGCTTATGCTTCACTTGTTTCCAGTTGCAGTGTTGACTTGCATTTTTCCACGTAATCAATTTCCTTCCCTTCAAGGCAAGGTACAACTCTTCCCTGTCTCCTCCATGCCTCATTCTTTTCCTGTGCTCTATAACAGGGAGCCAGAGCTTCCCAAAACTTTAAGGAAGAAGCAGCCACTGGGAAGTCCTCAGGTGAGGAGAGACTGCATGTTATGGACTGGCTGCAGGGGAATAGGCAGCTAGGGACTCATAGGCTATGAGTGCCTATCGCAGGACTAGTGACCCAGCAATAGGACAGTAAGGCAGAGCCCTGCTTGGGCAGCAAGAGTGGTGTTAAGGTATCCAGAGTAGCACTTGTAAGCTGCCCTGGAAACTAGCCATCAAGCCCTAATTGGAAGCCCCTGGGTGGGGTGGCTGGGGAGTTACTTGGTCAGAAGGGGCAGGGCTTAGGAGGCATATATGCTTTGGGCTAGGGAAAGTCATTTGATCCCGCAGGCAGCAGAGAAGAGTTCTGCAGCAGGATGGCTACAGGGGAGTGACTGACTGATATCTCAGCTGTCCTGGGAACTGCAAGTAAGGAGCTGATAGCTTGCAGGGAAGCATGAGCCAGTATGAGGAGAGCTTGTTATACAGGCAGTGGGTTTAGAGTTTAAGGGTGCAGACAGAAATAGAGCTCCCTGTTGTAAGTGAGAACACTTTGCAGGAAGCACTCTGAGTTACAATGATCCCCTGGATTAAACAGAAGTTCACTGTTGGTTCTAGGGGGGAGGGAAATATAGCTGCTGGCTGCTTTGTCCCTGCAAGGCTGCAAAGTTTTCAGAATTGGGGGGAGGGAACAGAGGGACCTCATTCTTGTGGGTTCTCACTTCCACCTGGACGGTGGGGTGGGTGAATTGGAGCCTCCCCCACCTTGTGGGTGGGGGCTCCAGTACACTTGCCCCACCCTCCAGTAGGGTCTGTACCCTGTCCCCCCCAGACCTTACTCCCTCTGCTCCCCTTTTCCCCACTCCCATTCTGAAACTGCTGGAGGCTGGGCAGAACAGGCAGAAGTTACAGAAGATACTTTGTTTTGAAATGTCTTCATCTGATCAAGTGAAAAATCTGACCCCCTCATACAATTTTTCACCTGATCAGCCATTTTTGAAGCTGCCTGTGGCTGTGCATTTGTTTGATCATGGCTATAAACTGCTTTCTGTGGCCAGATTGAGCAAAAATTGTCACTTCTGCCTGTGCCCTTAATTACAGCCAGTATACTTGTATTTTAGTTTAAGCTTTACCAAAAGACCAGATGTGGCTATTGGGGAAGTTCTGGAAGCCACAGAGGGTGCCAGAGGGCATGTGAGGGCTTGTGCCTGCCAGGGGCAGGGGCGTAACCCAAGGGGCACATGGATGTTTTGAGCCCTGCCAGGAGCTGGCTCAAGATGCTGACAGGCAGAAACCAGAAAGGGTAAAGGCCTGAGCCTGGACAGGTAAGACAGGCAGCCTGAAGCCAGGCATGCCAAGGGCCAGAGGCCGCCTGACACTGGCTTGAGGGCAGACTGCCCCACATAAGTGACCACTAACATCAGCTAGGCATGGGCTTGGCTGTAGGGGCAGAAGGAACCATAAATAAGGCAGGCATGGGCAAAATGCGGCCTGCAGGCCAGATGCAGCCTGCCAGGACATTCTATCCAGCCTGTGGGGCCCCTAAAAAACAACAAAAAAAAAAAATGTAGAAAACTAATATTTATCTGCTCTGGGCTGTCTGTTATGTGGCCCTTGATGGCTTGCCAAAACAAAGTAAGTGGCCCTCTGCCCAAAATAACTGCCCACCCTGTCTTAAGGCAACAGGTGCCCCGGGGCATGGGTGGGCCAGGTAGGTGTACTTAGCATTTGAGGGACAGAATCGGGGACCAGTAGGGTCTGAGAAGGACCTGCTGGTTGAAAAATGGACAAGAGCTTGCTCTGGGATCCAAGGACAACTTCTCTTTTCATAATCAATTAATTAGATCAAAGCATGGCAGGAAGGCAAAGAGGAAGGGTACCCAGGGAGTCAAAGTGGGGCAGGAGTCGCATGGCCATCAGGGGGCATCAGGGCCTCCTCTGGGGATCGATCTTGTTACAGCTCCCAGTGAATCTCACTTTCCTCTTCTGTGCTGTGCATAACTCCTAGGACCCACCCCAATCTTAATGTCTCTCCTTTCAGCTTCCACTTCTCCCATAAAGTCTGTAATTAACTGGCATCTCTCTGTTGAGCTAAGAATTTTGTTCATTAGGAAGTAATAAGGTATTAGAACACAGATGAGAAATCCTACTGATTAATAAAACAGTGCTTCACTGTTTCAGGTAGACGAAGACTAGGGTGTTCAGAACTGTCTAGATCAGGCTTGTCCAATGTACGGCCCGCAGGCTGCCATGTGGCCCGCCAAGGCATTTTCTGAGGCTCGCGGTGCTGTGATGGGGAAACGAAAGTAAACACTGTTTACTTTCGTTCCCACCCCTTGTCCCTCTCCCAGCCCCTCAGCAGCTTCCTAATGGCACGTGGGAAGAGGAGTAGTCATGTGCTGGAGCAGCAGGGGCTCAGCTGCACTTTCCCCCTACCTGCGCCTGTCAGTCCTGAGCGGCACACGGCTCTGCTGCCGCCTCTGCTGGCTGTTGCCAACCTGGGCGGGTCTGTCCCATGCGGAGCAGCATGCAGTTGAAGCCGGATTCCCACATGATGCTGGGGATGGGAGGAGGCTTGCCAGGTCGGCACCAGCCAGCAGAAGCAGCGACAGAGCCACGGTATTCCGGTTAGTAAAATGTCAGATAACAGGGCTTTTACTGTATTTGAATCTGCTTATGCTGTCAGGAAATGGGGCGGGAAGAGGTTGTATTAGTGGAGGCAATCAAGAACAAAGAGGCACCACTATCCCCATTGCACCATTGTGCATTGTGAAGACAAACCCAGGGAGAGACCCCCCTGATGCTTCTCTGTGAATTTTTAGGGTTTTTTTTTTTTATATTTGACTATAAAGTACTTGGGGTAGGATCAGAACTTTCCCTAAATATTGCTGTGCTCCCAGCTTACTCTTTGCACATATTTAATAATAATAATACTTTGGGAGTGGCTGGACAACTGAGCAGTGAAACTGTGAGCAGGGTGGCTGTTCACACTTGTTTGCTTGATGCCCACCCATCATATATATGGGTTGCTGCTATTTTGCCCTCCCAAGGCACAGAAGACTTAGGGTCATTCTTCCCCCTCATTGTTCCTCACCTGAAAAGTCAGAAGAAGTGATCCAGACTGGAGTCATAAGCCAGGGGGTCAGAAGACAGAAACAGGGGTTCCACCAGACAACTTAATCAATCTGTCCTGTTGAGCACCTGTATATATGCAGTAGATGTGTTCTTGCAAATAGCTAGGGCCAGTTGAAATTAGCTAGGCAGCAGGCAGCCAGGCCCACTGGTGATTAGGACCAGCTGGGGGTTACTTAGCCCACATACTGCTCTGATTCCTGAGTATCAGAAGAGGTGACATCCTTCAGACGTAACGGATTGAGTTTTCCAATGATAAAGTCTCATTTGGGCTTGCAGTGCCACCGTACATAGACAGTATTTGAATATATCAGTAGAAAATGAACTCTGCATATCACGGCCCTACAAGAACTGTTCAGGGGGAGGTTCTCTTTCTGTGTTTGGCTGAAATACATGAGGGAGAAAATGTGTGGGAAGTAGAGAAGTATGTATGAAGCAACAGAAACAGCAACACTGGAAGCAAAATAAGCACAGCTTGGTAGTACTGCAGCTCAATTTCTACTATCCCCAGCATTTAAGCCATTCAAGCTACTGTGCACTTAAGTGCTATTATAATTGCCTTTTCTCTCTTTTTCCCACCCCCCTCAAATTGACTTTCACTTATAACCAACTAGTTAATTTATATTGTGATATAATTATGTAAATTGGCTGCATATCCACTGAACATGCTCAGTAGAGCTGTACTGCATCTCTGGAGGCACATAGTTGCCCTACAAGCCCTGGAACTATTCTCTCTAGAACTTTAACCGTCTACACCCTGAAGTCATGTTCACAGCATGACTAAAAAGACCTTATCAGTGACTTAGTTATGGCTTCTGAACCTGATTGCACCAAGATCCCATAAAAGGAGCCAACTGGGAGCCAGCTTGCTATCTAGCATTGAGAGAGGTGAGTAAGGGGTACCCAGGGACACTAGTCAGAATTAGGTTTATGGCATGCAAATTGACTGTAGGAACTGGGGTAAGGGACAAATTAAACAGTAGAGGGGGATCTAGGAGGAAGCAGGACTTAGTTAAGAACATAACTAATAGTCAGGGTGCATCTAGGCAGACTAGATAGGGAGGCTGGTAGAGAGCTTCAGGGTGGCTGTGGATGGACAGATAGGCTACATAGTAGAGTGGGAATCTAGGCTGGGGGGAGGCTGCAGAGTGGTGTACCCCATGAACATCAGTCTGGTGGCCATTAGGTGGCACTGTGGTGCATTTGGAAGCTCCAGCATCTAGCTTCAATGGAAGGGAGCCCTAAGGCTCAGCAATCTGGGCTGGCCAGCCTTCCACAGAAGTTGCTGGGTGGTGCCAGGCACATTCTTGGAACGTGATGCAGACCCATAATCTGCACTCAGCACTATTGCCTCATTATTGGCACACTCCATTATCTCTGCAGCCTACTGAGAGGTAATTTGGAAACCACCCGCAACACACATTTCACCCTGTCTATGGCCAGTAAGGTCAGCATGGCTTTAGCCATGCTGGTTTTAGTCTCCTTTGAGTGGGTGGTTCTCCAGACCATGGACCATGACTTAATTCCCAGACATCCTTATCCCTTGCACCCTAGATTTCATTTTCTTTCCAGCTGATTCTGCCACCACCTTCTATATCGTGGGAATTACATTGGATCACCAATGTCCTGCAAGTCCTGGGTGCTGTGGACAAGACCCATGTCAGCATCTGTAGGATCTCACAGGATCCCTATGTGTTTATCAACAGGGAGCCTGGCAGCAGCAAGGCAGCTGCTTGCAATCCCCATCAGGCAGTGTTGCCTGATTGGGGGAACAGGGCCTTCCTGGTATTTTAAGGGCTGGGTCCCTGAACAGCAGGACAACAGTCTGTTGCCAGGTGTTGGAGGGTCAACACTGGCTGAACTGCTGTTCAGCACCATCTGGAAGTCTAGATGGAGACTATGGGGATGGAAGGAGGTTCCCTGTCCTGGGTATGACAGAAAACTGCACCCTGCTGGGGAAGGGGGGCCTGGTGGAGCTACAAGAGTTGTTATGGCATTCCTTGTCTTTTTGGAGCTGGCCTGCCCTCATTCTTCACTACCTCACAGGTACTGGGAAGACTGCAGGTAGGGTTCCTTTAAAGTCTGGAGCAGACTGTGGGGCTGCCCACTCAGTCAGGGCTTAACTTGGATGTCTGTTCATCCATGAAGATGGATAACTGCTTGAACCCAGGCACAGCTGCAGGTTTAACAGAACTTAGGTGCATCTTTCTGCTGAACAATTTCCTTTGTGTAAGCTGGTGATCTGGGTGTTGGCTACCTGTGCTGTACAGGGTTGGGGAAATAAAAAGGTTTTAGTGACATGTCTTGGGCAGGGTGTGACCCTCCCCATCTTCCTCTGCCCTGCTGTGTCCCTCTAAATTGGAGTGTGACTCTTCCACCCTCTTGAACCCAGGTGTGGACTGGCCAGGCTGTGAAGGTAAGTTCCTGCTTGCAGCTAACACTTGCGAGCATGGCAGCCACTTCAGCGCTGCCTGCGCTGTTTTCCCTGAGCAAATCTTCTGTTGCAATCGTCATGCCAGGAACCCCTGGGAGTGTGCAACTCTTAGCCTTGTGTTGCCCTCTGAGTTGTGGGCTCCAGGACAGCAGGTGAGTGTAAGGTTGCAGGAAGATGTGTATTGCACTGAGAGTGGTTTTCCCCCTCTCTTCCTGGCATGTTAAGTGGAAGGAATCTGTGTCTTAGGGCAGATAGCAGATGACAGCTAAGACTCATCACTAGGATTTCTTTAGCAGGATGAAGGGCAGCAGTAGGTCTTTCAGGACCTGGTTGAGACCTAAAAGAAGAAAAAATGTTCCTTTGCCCTTCTGATAAGAGAGATTCCCTTTTCACTCCCTGAAGAGGCAAGCCTCTTGAACTGTTCTAGGGCACAGATCCAGATAGCCATGAAGAAGAGGTTTCTTGGTCTTAACTGGCCTGTGGAGAAGCAAGGTGGGGGAGGGGGGTGGAGGAAGGCTGTAGTGGCTTGTACAGGGTGCCCTCCATGGATACGTTCTATCAGCAGCATCCCCGTTCTGCATTGGCTGCTGTTGACCATGTAGGTCAGCTGGCATCCTAGGTGTGTAGTTCAACTTGCCATCCAAACAGGTTTGTAACAGTGTGGCTTCTGCCCTTTGCTGGGGTCTGGGGGATCTGTCTGCTTTTGCAACGGCCTGGTTAGAATACCAGGGTTCCTCTGTAGGGAACAGGGAGGTGCTAGGGTGTCCTTGTGAGGTATGCCATATGTAGATACTGGTGTTCTTGTGCAACTCCCAGCCATGGCTCCTAGCTTGCTGAAGAAGCTGCCTGTGAGTGAGCCCTTTGTTCCAAGAGTGCAGCACTGCACAGGGGTGTCCTAAGAGCAGTTACTTGTCAGGATGCTCCTTTCTGTAACTGTGTGCTGACAAGACAAGCAGATGGAAGATGACTGTGCGGCACTGTTCAGAGAGTACCCTGTCCTCCCATTACCTCTATGCTCTCTATAGCAATCTAAGCATCTTATAATGCCCTATGGCAGGGAAGTAGAATCATTCGTATTCTTCGGTCATCTATCCAAGACTTGCATGAAATGTATACTTCTGTGTCCAGCCAAGATGATAGATTTCTCCCCTGGCTTTCTCTAGGACCATTTTGCTGGGAAATGTCTAACCATGAAGAAATGAAGTGGGGAGGAAATGGAAAGGTGCCCATGGCTCAGGGTAACATCAGTGTTCTGGCCTTTGATCTCCTTTCAGGAATGCAGGGCTGGATGCCGATTGCCTGAGTATAAAGGACAGTGGCCGTGGAAAAAATGAGGTAGAGTATCAGGATTCAGAGAATGGATTTGATCTCTCCATGAAGCAGCTGATGGCAGAAGAACTTGAGAGCCTGCTAGAGCCCCATGCAGGTGAGGCCACCATGCTTTGCCTGACACTCCAAGGAGTCCATGGAATGGTTACTTTGCACTAGTGAGGAGATGTCTGAAGTAGGGGTGCTGATTGTTTCAGACTGCAATTTGATTGGCTGGTTGGGATTTTTGGAGGATGATTTCCTTAGCGCACCTGTAAGCCTCCTGTGCTTCCATAGGGGTGAGAAAAATGGTCTCACACACACACACACACACACACACACACACACACGACTATGCTGGTTGCTGCATGGGGTCTGGAAGGATTTTTTTTTTTTTTTCCTCTCCTGTTGCTAGAGGAATTGGGGTGTCATTTCCCCCCCCCCCCCCCCCCGAAAATACAGCCTTACACGCCCCCCCCCCCCCCCCCCCCCCCCCGGAAATATCAGCTGTTGGCTGCAGCCAAGGCTGGGAACTTTTTACTGGGACGTGCCAATGCTGGGACTAAAAATACCCCGTGGATTCTAGTTGAACGATCTTGCTTCCCTCATTCAGGGGCAGACTCATTGACATATTTGGGATCAGGACAGAATTTTACCCCACTGTCAGATTTGCATGGGACTATTGGGGTCTTTGCCTTCCTCTGTAGTGGGGAGCATGGCCCTTTTTCTCTGGACCTTTCAAGTATATTTTAACACCTATTTCTTTCCCTTGCAGCAGCAGGACACTGATAGGGCCCTTGTCAGTCTGGTTTACCTGTGGCAGGTTACAGTGTTCTTGGTGTTTTGGGACAATGCATTTGATAGCTGTGTAACAGGATTGTTTGTGCAGCTTTTAAGAACAGGTTAGCGCACTGGTGCTCAGCCTTTTGGCTTTTTGGGCCATGTGAGTGGGGTAGGGATGGTCTACAGGGCAGATTGAGTCCCATGTTCCACAACCAGGGTCTGGGGCCTGGCACCACCCCCTCCCACCCTGGAATGATCCCAGGACCTGGTGCCTACCTTTCCCACCAGGATTGGGTCCTGAGGGGGCCTGATTCCACACCCCCTCTCAACCCCCCAACACAGACTGGGTACTGGGGCCTGGCACTGCCCCTTCCCAGGTCCCTGCATGCTGGGACAGGACCCTACAGCCTGGCACCATTCCTTGGAATGGGCTGCAAGACATGGCACTGTGGGCTGGGAGGCTGCACACCCCTGGGTTGAAAAGCACTTGTACAGGATATTTTTGGATAGAGATGATCTTGCCTTGAACAGGACATTAGACTGCCTCTGGAGGTCTCTTTCAGCCCTACTTTTCTATGATTTCTGTAGTGTTTATGATTTAAAGACAACTGGTAGGAAACAGTAAGAGAGAGAGGGGCTGTGATAAAGACAACTAGGGTCTCTTAACCTAGCATGTATATTCACACTGAGTCACCCTTCCAGCCTCTGTTTGGGCCTTCCAGTTAACGGTAAAACATTCTGCTTCAAAAGCTAAATGTAGAAATTGCTCCTCATCCAGGCCAGAGTTTTCTGTTGGCCATCATTCCCGTAAAGCTGTGTACCCTGTGGGTCAGCATTGGGAAGAAAGGGTATGACGAAATACCAATTGCACTTAGGCCAATAGCCTTTTGAGGCAGATGGGTTTCCCACTACACCAAGGATAACACTTAGTAATCAAAAAGAGAGAGGTGAGCTAAGAAACAGGTTCTGTCCACTTGCCCTCGTGTTCTCACTACAGAGAACATGATGTTCTCAATGTGTGACTGCTTTGGGTAGTCACACAGTAGTAGCATTTTGCCCCGTTGTCAGGACCAGAGCTTAGATAGTTGGGTAGAATGGATACCACAAGATCAAAGGTGGGAACAAAGCCAGGGACTGAGATTCAGAAACTGTGATCAAGATCGTTCCAGAAACAAGTAGCTAGGGAGTGCAAGATACTGGGAACAGTCAGGCAGGAATGGAGCCTGAGCTTGGGCAAGAGCAGAGAATAATAAAGTACGATGTGTCAGATGAAAAATATTAGAGATGAAGAACGTAATGCAATTGCTTGGTTTTCTCCTTAACTCTGGAGCCCCAGCTAGTTAAGCAAGCCAGCCAAACAGGTTGCCTGCTAGCCCCAGTTGAGGCTGATTAAGTCATTAGGGTGCCTAATAGGACTGTGTGAAGCTTCGGGTGGTGATTTTGATTTGGAGGAGATTCAGCCTGATTCAGTGGCCGAATCTCTGAATCCGAATCGAATCAGGACCAATTTAAAGGTCTGAATTGATTCTGAAGCTTCGGAGAGCTTGGATTTGGACAGTCCCTGGTGACTGCAGTAGGGAGCTGCAGCCACTCTGAATAGGTAAGTACTAGGGGCAGGGGAGGGGGGGGACCCCTGCCAGCCCCAGATCCCAGTACTTTAAAGAAAAGCCCTGGTGCTCACTGGGTGCTGGGCGGGGGGTGATCCCCACTGCCCCGTGCTGCATGCGGGGGTCTGCATGAGCCCCTTGTTCCACCCC